GGGGTCCTTTTCGTGTCGGGCCCCGGACGGATGGACGCCGGCACCGCCGCACCGCACCCGCCAGGCAGTTTACGTTATCCGACCGCAACATCTCGCTACGGTTGCCACCACCGCCTCCTCGTAAATATTCTATTAACGGCGGCGTCCACACGAGCACGAGCTGCACGCGAACCTCTAAATTAAATATAGGCTCAGTATAAATACGCGTGTCTCGCTCCGCGGTGTCTGCTATGTCAGCCGTCGATCATTTTTTCTCTCCTGTTTAGACCCACTCTAAAGTAGGCTTTTCCCAGACAGATGAAAAATGAATAACAAAAATAAATCGTTCTCTCCGTGTGTATTAATGTTGCACGTGCATAACGGTTTCATAAAGATATACACAAAGATTATGTTAATATATTTATAAACTTGAATTGATTTGGATTTCTTCGGTTATACTCTTTCCGACGGTTTACAAATACTAGCTACTATATACATAAGTAGCCAGGTATAGGTATTTAGAAATTCAGAAAAAATCAGAGTCATCCCTTGTATAACACAATGTGTGATAGATTAAATATCGACTATAAGAAAAATTATTACTTCGTTGCAATTTCCAGCACAATCGAAGCAACTTATTTTTATTTCAAAAATTAATACTTATATAACTTATCATTATAGGTTGGTCAATTATAAAGTGGTTGTTAGTCATCAATACCAAAATAATTATTTAAGGTAGCAAAGTAATTACAGAACCAAAATAAAAGTTCGTCTTTTCTAAATAAAGCTTTTTGTTGTAGATTACATATTATACGAGTAAGTATATTTATAAATTATTTTGATTAAAATGTAAATTAATGTACTGGCGTATTTTTTGCGGAAAAATCCATTAGATTTCTACTGAATGACTCATAATGATAATAATAATAATGACATTATCGTCAAAATAAAAGGGAGGGTTGAAGACGGTAAAATGATGACTATGTGTGCTTAAGTGCGGGGGAGGAAAAAGATAAGTTCTTGATTAATGACATCATCATGAAGCTTGAATTTTTTTCTGTTAAAAACCCATCGTTATTTACATTAATTAATAGTATTTAAAAATATTTATGCAACAAAAGAAGATTTTGAAAACAGTTTTTTTGAATAGCATTAGTATGCTATTTTTAAATCAGCCATATATTAAAATTTAATGGTCGAGAATGATGATATTTAACATTTTTGACTTTTGTATACAATTAAACCCACGATCATAGCAGTATCATAGTTCATACTTATAAAACATATTAATTTTAAGTAGGTAAAGGCTTTTAAAAAAAAAAAAGTTTCATATTGTGTGCATTATGATGCTAATATAGCAGGTACCTGAACGCATACGATACATTACTAATTATGTAATGTAATTTATTACTTGACATATTGAATAATAATATCATAATTGTATTTAAAATGGTGTGTTATGATTTATGACTTTAGGTAATAATTAAAACTTCTGTGCCAAAATTAAAACAATATAATTTGCGATTTTTAGTACAACTAATATCATTGTACTAATATATTAATACATACCAAGTATTTCAGTAACGCGCGCTAGTACTTGGTAAATGTATATTAACAATTTTTTTTTGTTTGTATGACAAATAATTAATGTGATTTTTTATGATACTGTAGATTACAGAACTTAACATACTATCACAGGCTCTGGAATAAGAAAACATTCAACATTTACGACCAACAGAACTTTCAAGACATTAATTAGGTGACGGAGATCCGATGATCAGCATCATTGTATTGAAACTAGAACTCAATCGTTGATGGGCATTTAAAATCTGATAACAATCTTACACACTCTCTCCACACAGGACTACACTGAAACTGCAGGACTAACGATTGACGAAGAGTGTTTATACTGTTGATATTAAACGAGTAAACTAATAGCCCCGGGGAAATATCATTCAATTTTAAACTACGTTTTAATATATTATATTGTACCCGGTAGGACGCTCATCCGCGTATATAGTCCCCTTATTGATACAGCTATAGCGATAAAAAGTTAGGTAGTTATAGGAGTTTCTAATTTCCGTTTTGACGTTTTGTTCGGAGTAGGTAGGTGTTATTTACGATAACAGCCGGGGTAAAGTTTTGTTTTCGTAAGCATAATACATATTAGACAATTTATATTGTTTTATTATACCGAAGATATATTATAAAGTCAACTGTGCGACGAATATAACTATATATGAAGATTATGTCCAGTGGCATATTTCAGGTGATGAGCCCCTCGGGAGTGGGCTGTGGTTATTTTATGTATTCATAATCATGTATGTATAGAGATGAAATTGTCAAATAAACAATTACAAAATGAATTTAACTCTTAAACAAACATTTAAATATATATAGTTGATAAATTGGGGCGCGTAGAAGAGGGAGCCCTTCATATCAAGAGTTGTTCTTCAATTTTGAACAAGGTAACAAGCTAATTAGTAATAAGTATTTAATGTTTATACAAGTGAAAAAAGGGAGCGACATTTTGTTCATCTATACTTCAAATAGTTACAATTTATATAATTAAGTAACCTAGTTATAATTAACTTATATATACTTTTTTTAAATCCAATTGAATGTATAGACATTTTCAGAATATGAAATAAAAATGTACTCTGTTATTCAAAAAAGTAAAAAACTTCAGAAATTAAACGATAAAAAATATAATAGTTTTGTTTAATGACTTCAAATCGTGTAAAATGTATATTTTCAAAAACGTGAATACTTTTCGAGGGAAATGATTGATTATCTTTAAAATAATCATCTTTTCTTATGATAATATATGAAATGATTGACTGTGCGATCACTGACTATATGGATGCGGATTATACTTGATAATATCTTATATGAAAGCGAACTTTGGATAACCACTACGTGAGAAACCTTTTTTTCCAAACCAATGAAATTAAATAATATTATAATATTTTATGGATACGCGTAGTTAACAACTATGTATACAACTGGCGTGCATCGGTGCAACAGCAGGAGTTTTTGGCGTCCAGTGCCGTCCACTGTTTTCGCAGTGGGTTTTTATCACCGGAAGGGGTAGTATATAATATAATATGATATATATAGAATAACGTTCGAGTCTCGAGTGGTGTGGGGTAGGGGGCGACTACGGCAGTGCATCGTCGTTTTGAAATATAATATCCGCCGTGACAAGGTGGTGTATAAATGTATGTGTATAGTGCGAGCAGAGAAGCGAACGGTCGGAGTGACGGCGAGCGGGAACGGACGGACGAAGCGGTGATGGAATGCCCGAGCGGCGGAATAAAAGGAATCGTTTACACAGGGTTTACCGAATCTGGGGATGAAATTTAATTAATCCGCTGGCAGTGTGCGTGCGTTCGTGTGTGTACGACGAGCACAGCAGAGTAGTATGACCGTCTACCCCCGCGCGTTCATCCGGTGTGTGTGTGTGTGTGTGTGTGTATTAATTAATTGGAGTGAAAGGGAATAAAGAGCCGCCGCCTCCTCCGTGACAATGCCGGGCAATGCGAATATTACAATATTGTAGCGCAACTACCCCTTTAGGCGTTACGGGGTGGAATATTGTTGTGGGAGATGTGTATATATATATATATATATATATACGAGTTATTGTTTTCTCATAATTGCCACTGCCACTGCCGCCGTCACTGCTGCAGTTATACGCGATTGTTGTACGCGCGTTCACATATTGGACGTAAAGTTTAATATATATATATATTGTATATTATGTATGTGTCACATGTCAATTAGCCACACACATGTTGCCATATTTCTATACCGTCGATGTAATAATATGTGTACATGTGCCGCGTTCGTATCATCGCGGACGTTATTTAATTGCTAATCCGGATGACCATATTATTATATTGTATACTAGTGAGTCGTCGTGCGTAATATATATATTATAATATTATGCTATGGAACGTTTATAAGTATAAAGTTACAATATATTTTTTTTTTTTTGTTAAAATGAGTTAATATTTTTTTTCTAATAAGAAAGTTTTCACATGAGGTTTGAACAACTATTATACATTTATAGCACTAAGAGCTTTTACAAAAAAAAATTTTAAATTAAAAAAAAATGTATAGCATATGATATTATATAATATAACATTTACACTTTTGCTAACGCCTCGCCTCCTGCTCTGACTCTATTATTACACATAAATACAGGTACACACTACACACGTATATAATGTCATAGCTTAGAGTTTTCGTACAAAATATGATACATATAATATTATATTTTGCGATTTTCGAGGTTAAAAATTGTTGTTGTTTTTTGGGTTGAAAAGCGATTTTCCCCTTTGTTATAAATCATTCGAAAGTAAACTTTTTCCATACTACGCGGTCGTCGTCAAAAGTTTGAAAACTCACCGAATTTTTTGCTTCTAGTACATAAATATAAAAAAAATACTCACATACACACACATATATATTTATAGTAGTATAATATAGTAGTATACTAGTTTCTCTCTCTTAGTTTTCGACTGCGATGTGTAGTAATATATAATATATACATTTGTCACAGTGGACACATACTACGATAGTAATAATAATATTATGGATATTGAAATATTGATATGACTGAAAATTTGAATTATTTGCGAAACCTCCAGGAATTATACAATCATTAAACACCACAAGCATTGTATATCGCGTTTATATATTATAATATATGGATAAACGACCGAATAATTATAATACGTGGAATGTTATTTTACGGGTATAGACTCCCAAGCCCCGAGTATAAACTGTACTTATTCTTGAATTCCACATCAAACACACTGTAATTCATCGACATTAATATCGTCCGCGCCGCTTAATACGAATAATTCGTTTGAGGGCGGGTCAGAACGTTTAATCACGGATCACCACGGAAATAGTTCCTATCTCCTGTATATCGGGTCTTGCATCCGAGGGCTGTTTGGATAACTAATCGCAGTGGATTAGTCGTACGGCCTAAGGGCATAGGCGTGCGCACGGGTGCAGCGAATGCTGCTTTCGCTGCACCTGACAATTTATTTTGGATTTAGTGGGCTGGTAGATATTTATTTGAAATGTATAATATTATACATGGAATGAATAATTTTAAACATATTGAGTTTATAAATAAAATATAAAATATGTTTAGTGTTATTCAAATGAAAAAAAAAATACTATATTATCAATACAAGTCTAAAAATAGATGGGTAATATTGGAGAAATTCGACGTACACACTAGATTACAAAAACAGACACAACAATAATAACAATAGCGCATTAACCATCCAACCAGTGTAGCGGCCAGCGATACGAAAACGCAATGAATGTCCATAATGACCATAATTAGTTATAAACTTATAATCAGATCACATATTCACATAATCTAATTGACTGTTATATTAAATTTGTAATTTAATAACGATATTTCGCTGTTACTGCAGTCTGCAGTCTTATTTCAAATTGGACCTCGTCTTAGTGTTCTGTTACTTGTTACTTAGTTATTTTAATTTTTCATATCATGTCGAGTAAACGACTCGGTGGTCAGGAAAAAGTTCGTGCAAAAAAAAAACTGTTACTGTTGAAGACTAGTGAAAAGTGCCACAAGATAAATGATTTTTTTTCAAATAAAAAAAAAACAGAAATAAAAGAATTAATAGCAGGTAAGTGATTAATATTAGCATTATAACAACAAGTAATTTTATAAAGTTGTATCTTTATGCACCTATAATCACAGATAAAATACACCACGCTTAAGCTATGATAATTTATTATATTCTTTATTTATATTTACCAAATTTTTTCTATTTAACCTTGTTTGATAATACCATTTTAAGTCATTCCTATACCTACTTAACAATTTATTTTGTGAAAACTATTACCTATTTGAAATTTAAATGAATTTTCATGTTTTCTTAACAGATGATCAAAATACAAAAGTTTTGTCGCATGAAGGCTGTACACCATCAAACGTTTTATTTAATACACAAACTAGTGATTATGAAGACAATGATTTACTTCCATCGTCAGAGTTAGAGTTAGAGTTAAACAGTTCTGAATGTATAGATGCAGGTAATAAATTAAACATAATATTGATAAATTATGTATGAAAACTAAATATACTAATAATATATATGTTTTTATTTTTTAGCTGAAAGTATTGAATCATGTTCTTTATCATTGATAAAGAATAAGATATTGATACATGTAGATGATCCAATAAACCCTCTTTCATCTAATCGACTTGAATTTAATGAACGTATAGGCAAAGGTCCTTATCGTCCAATTTTAGAAATATTTCCAAGGCAAAAACAAGGTAGTTGTATGCGTTCATTTCAGAAATCATGGTATGATTTATATGATTGGCTTGAATATAGTCCAGCAGCTGATGCTGCATTTTGTTTTCCATGCCGCTGTTTCAGTGGAAATGAAAACAATTCTTCGCAATTGGAATTAACTTTTTCCACAACTGGTTTTAAAGGCTGGTACCGAGCACTTCATATGTTTAAGAGACATAATTTATCTAAAGCACATATTAATAGTACAAAATCTCTGGTTCATTTTAAAAATTCTAAGTCAATTGATGAAATAATTGATATCAATAAAACAGTATGTCTTAAAACAAGGGAGGCTGAACGTTTGAAAAACAGAAAATTAATGGAAAGATTAGTTGATATAACTATTTGTCTTGCCAAAGGTGGGCGGCCATTCCGTGGTCATGATGAAAGTATTAATAGTCATCAAAAAGGTTTATTCAGAGAGTTTATCCAAGTATTAAGTAAATATGATGTTGTTTTAAAAGATCACATTGATTTTGGACCAAAAAACGCTCAATACACTAGTAACAGGATTCAAAACGATATTATTTTTTCAATTCATAATGTTCTTAAAAAAAAAATTTATAACTCATTAAATCAATCATATATTTCAATAATTGCTGATGAAACATCTGATGTTGGACATCACGAGCAATTATCAATTGTAATAAGACATTTTAATTCTATGACTAATCGACCTGTTGAAACATTTTTGGTACTAAAACGTATGATATCAGTTAATGCAGATTCTATTTTTCAAGCAATAACTGATGTTCTCAAAGATCAAATAAAATTAGAATGGAGTTCAGTTGTTTCTGTGTGTTTTGATGGGGCGGCAACAATGGCTGGTAGTATTTCTGGTGTTCAGGCAAAATGTAAGGAAGAAAATAGTAAAATTTTGTATGTACACTGTTATGCGCATTGCTTAAATTTATCTCTAATTGACTCTATTTGTGACAAATCTAGCAATAAAAATCCTAACCAAAATCGAGTTTTATTTGATTTTCTTGGAACCGTTCAATTTGTTTACTCTTTTATTGAAGGGAGTCCCATGCGTCATGCTATATTTGAAAAAATAGCTAAAGAAAATGGTGCTCACGTGCAAACATTAAAATCTTGTTCCGTTACCAGATGGGCTTGCCGTGCAGAAGCCGTAAATGCAATAAAAAATAATTATGGTGCAATACTTCAAGCATTAAAAACAATCAATTTAAATTGTTCAATTCCTGAAATGCGGGCAAAAGGCCAAGGTCTTTTACATCAACTTCAAACTTTTAATTTCATATTTTGTCTAAATATGATGCAAGTTATCTTACAGCTAGTTTTGAAAGTAAGTTCTGCCTTACAAACACCAAATTTAGAATTGTTAACTGCAGTTATGATAATTAAAACACTCAAGCAGTCATTGATTTCATTACGGAATGACTCTCAACATTTTAAATCAATGTTTGAAAATACAAAAAAAATGTGCTATGAAATGGATATTGAAATACCTGAAGTAAAAACAAGAAAAATTTCTAAAAAACTAGAAGATAAATCTGAAACACAACATATATTTAAAAATAAATATGATGAAATGAGAATTTTGGTATTTTATTCAAATTTGGATGTACTTCTTAATGGATTAGAAGAAAGATTCAAACAAGATACATTGGATGTAATCAATGCTATTGGTCTATTAGTCAACCTAGATGATGAAAGTGAAACTTCAACATATAAAATATTATACACATATTTTTCAATTTCTGCTGATGATTTATGTTGTGAAGTTAATCTTTTGAGATCTACTGAAGATACACCAAAAGGTACCAACTCAGGTTCTGTACACAAATGGCTCGATTGGTTAAAACAGTATGGTAGACATGACATTTTTAAAAATTTTTTTCACTGTCTTAAAATGTTTGTGACAATTCCAGTGACTAGTTGTAGCTGTGAACGTAGTTTTACAAAACTCAGCATTGTAAAAAACAAATTGAGAAATACTATGTCACAAGAAAGATTGGATGCACTTCTATTTTTGTTTGTAGAACAAGAACTTTTAACTGGTATTGACTTAAATGATGTAATTGATGAATTTAAACATTTGCTTCCTAGTAATCGCAGACTTATATTGTAAATTGTTAAATATATTTATAAAAGTATAGAATAATATATTAAATTACATAAAAATATTATTAATATTATTTTTTATTTACAATTTATTATATTTATTATTATCATAATAGGCATTGTCATAGAGTGATGAATTTATATGGATGGTGGGAGGGTATACCTTATAATGATTCAGGTACACAAGTGATAATAATATGAACGTATTAAGTATTACATTTTTACACTATGGGGCTAACAGAATTCAGGGGGGGATATATTAAGGAAATAAGTGGGCTGCTTATTGTTCATTAGGGCCGGTTAAAATGTATGCTGCACCCGATACAAAACCCTGCGCACGCCTATGCCTAAGGGCGATCCTAACCGGCCATTCCCGCGTGGATATATACAATGCTGGTGCTGGTGTCGATGCCGCTGCCGTGGGGGATGTTTTGGCTGACGAATTCTAAATTCTTCGCTTCACCTGACCTCCGCAATCCCGACAAATAACGGCGTGACAGTGTGCGATGCACGTATAATAATAATATTATTATTATGCTAACAGTATATACTATATATACACTAAAATTTCACGACGGCACGAAACATACGATATTATTGTAGTGGTTTATTATTACCTGTGATTGCACTGTTGGCACGCGAAACACTCCAAGTGATACACGTTGCTACGGGCCCTCATGACCATCTCAAACGCCGGTATGTCCTTGAAGCAAGCAGCACACATGCCTTTATTGCCAAACATCCTGTAAAACCTGTCAATCAGTAATAGCATCATACGGTGTGTGACGTGTCCGCCATTAATACCTGAAGTAATCCTTTTTGCACAATATCATGTTCGCCTTGGTGTACAGGGTAGATCCGACTTCGCCCAGTCGACATCCGCAGCAACCACACATCAAACAGTCTTCGTGCCAAAACAAATCAAGCGCCTTCAACAGAAATCTGCCGAAAAAAAAATTAAATAAAAATCATAAAATATGCACAATATTTATAGAGGACGCTGAACGTTTTTTATGCCATCACATATTAATGTATTATATAATATTAGGACAACTGCGATAAGAGCCAATATTTTCACTTTGTTTAAAATTAAATATAATATTGTCAGTGTATCATTTTAACATATACGTAGGCAGTGTGCCATACCTATCGGTTATGTGTTTTCCGCATCCGGCACACTCTTGTCCTCCCGTCGATGCGGAAGCGCCAACGTTGGCACTAGACTTGGTAGCCGTGCTAGCTGCTACTTGACTGGCTTTGACGTCCATTGTCATCTTACTCCTGCAGAACATAAGTAAAAAAAACACAATTAAAAAAAAAAATCACATAGTATATAACTTAACAGAATAGAGTTATGATGGGTGCGTTATTTTCTTTTTAAATATATAGTTTTGACCTGATACCGAGTATCATACTTCATTGGTTTGACGTATCTATACTTACAGAAACGTACCACCACGTAAAAATAAAATATATTATACCTAGACGTTTCCGGTTAGTTTTATGAACAATACCGCGATATTCGACAATACCACAAGAGATCGTGTTCGAATGGCTTGGTTTATGAGTTTTCGGGGTTTAAAATGCAGTAACGAATATTATATATCCAGACGGCTGTGTATAACTACTATAAAGTTCACCCCGCAGACACCGCGTAGCTTTTTTTTTATTCTTCAGAACCTAGACGTAAAGAGTTTTTTTCACGTTTTAGTTTTTATAGGCTTTATTATATATGTATATATATTGTCGGGCGCAGTGGTTTTTACTTTTCTTTTTATTTTACGATCGGATCAAAAAAAAACCCCAACGTCCCTATTTTTTTGTTTTGCTTAAAGACCGAAAGACATTTGGTATGCCGAGTTTGACGTGAAACATTAAGAACAATATCAAATAACGTTTTTTTCCGACGGGAAGGGAGACAAAAATATGGAATTTCTTTCGAAAGACAACTTTAATGCGTTTAAGTGTCCTTATTTAGTATTCAGCCGGAAGACCTGTTGTTGCCGGCAAGATAAAAGCTCTGTTCGGAATATCAAAACACAAATATTGTAAGGGGATGTAAAAAACTTTGTAGTAATGGAGAAGGGGAATTATATTTTTTTCTTATTACGAAAAGTACGATGTGCGATAACTGTGACAAATTAGGGGGTTGTATTTTATTTTTTTTAAATAGATGCGATTTGTGTCAAGACATCTTACGAATGTTAAATTCACAATAATGTTGTATACAAACAACAAAAGTCCCCCCAGAACGTGTAGGTTAGGTGTGTCGGTATAAACAAAGCAATTCAGATTTCAAAATAAATTGAGGCAAAATGTGATTTTCAAATGACAATTAGAGAAGGTTTGATAATGATATATTAGAACTCGGTTCACCTTAAATATATACTGCGCTTATACACATACAATATAAATGTATACCATGCAAATACTACGGTATAATTAATGTTATGTTTGATCATTTGATGACAAACGCCTATGTTGATTGTAGAAAATCAATTTCCCGTAGAAAATATATATTTTATTAATGTGCACCACGCCGTGTGGTTGTTCTTGAATAAAGTTTAATAACGCATTACAAGTGATTGAATATACATACTTAAGTCTTCGAGGGTAGGTATAATAGAATATATTATATGAATGAACATTATACACCCACTTTTGATAGTTCTGTTATAACAGCTATCACTGTCATAATTTTAGTTGTTAAGTTTATCAAATTATTCAATTAACTCTAATCGGTTGTAATGATAATTTGAATAATTAATCATTTGAAAATTATCGAAATTTACATATTAATGATTTATCGGATTAACATAATCATATTATTTTTAGTGTGCGTGTAATAAAACATATATGTAAGCGTATCTCTGCTGCAGTTCTAAGCCATACAAAGATTTATCCACTGCAGTTGTGGTTATCATCAACCTATTTTTAAAAAAATATTTAAAAAAAACCGATATAGGTGATTATAAAATATAATAAATTTGTCTATAATAGCTATCGATTAGTATTCTTTCGCAGTTGTGTTGTTCCCTCTGGGGCGAGTGGAGTTGTGCGTGAGAGCCACAGAGGGCTGCCGTGCTCGCCACGCACAGGTGTATTCGGCAACAACCCCTTCGGACCCTTGCGCGAAGGGTGACACACACGACGTGTCGTTGATTTATGCACACCAGACGGTTGTCATGCGGTGAAATCCGATGGTCATTTTTCACTTAACCCGCGACGCGTGTTATTGAGTGAACTTTTATATAATTTTTCGTTTTGTTTTTTTTTCACACACGCAGTGTGTACGATATACATATATATATAGTTCTCTGGCGTTTCCGGCAGCGGCGAATCAATCATACGCCGGCGGTGGACGCATGCGGCTGTCTGCACCGCTTGGTTTTATCGCCTCGAAATATAATTGTACCATTACCATAGTTATATTATAATACCTATTATATTATATTATATTATTCGCCAAGGTTTGATTAATTATTATTATATGGTACGTTCAAACGTTGAGCCTCCGTGGTGTTTTGGTGTATGATATGTATTATATTATAGTGTGTTGTGAAAACACGACGGGCACCAGCGACGTGCGTACACGTAACTGTTGTAGCGGGGACGACAAGCGCGAACAGGAATCGAAATATGTATGCGTTTTTGTTGTACCCCGACAGTCCCGACTGCAGTGGCGGTGTTTATAGACCAATTTATCAAGCCGATAATAGCAGTATATATACAACTGCAGAGCGATGAGAGGTACGGGCGCCGCCGCCGACTACTACATAAATTGCGTACAATAATAATAATAATAATATCGTTGTTTGTGGGGATGGTGGTTGTGGTGATTGTGGTGGGAGGAGGTGAGGGTGAAATTGTTAATCCGACGGCCTCGGTCGTAAAGATGATAGCAGTCGTTATGCTGTGGAGACGTTTTTAATTAGCTTAAAATAATCGCATGTACTTAACTTGTTTAACCGATCAATACTGCAGTTCTCGGCTGTGTTTAATGTGCGGTGTACTCCGAAAGAGCTATATACGCTAATAATAATAATTTAAGCTCGCCGTAATGCTGTGATTTAAAAAGCCGATTTCGTGCTGAAAAATGTATAGTTATGCCGTTCCATGACATGTAGGTAAATTATGGCTTATAGTAATTAAATACGAGACTGACAATTAGTAATCAACGAACATTTTCAAGTATTCTAATATGTTGTGTTTGACGTTTGTAAATTATGTATTATAAAAATCATAATATCGTAAATCGTAATGTATAATAGGTAGTATCTAAAAGGTTGGGTCGTTGGAATATAATGACCGATTGTGCCAATCAAGTATGCAGGATTAGTTTCAAGTTATAGGTACGCATAATATGTGTACCTGGCGGAAAATTATTGTACTCGAAAATCGAATTATTTTGTGGATTCACTTTAGAGTTTAAACAGTATAAGAATTCATAAAAAAAATAAAAACATAACGTGGCCGTGGTAACAATCCGAAAATAAATAAAGTCAAAAACATTGGTCGAGTTAAAATGTATAAATTCTGCACATTTACTTCGTACATTCGTGATCAGATGAGGTATAAGAAATAGAATATTACCAAATACCAAGACAGATTTATAAGTCCATTTTGATATAACACTACGAGCTATAATATTGTAAATGATTGTTAACAACAATTATTTATTCAAACGATGTTATAATTTTTGTTTGTAAGGTAATTAAAATGACTTTAAAAGAAAAATACACTTCTAACCAAAACATTTTTTTTTTTTTTAACGCAAAGGGGGAATTTCTACCCTCGTGGTCCCCCTCAAAGTAGTAATGACTTATTTAAAATAAATAATAGGTATACTACTATAGTACGCACTGTGAAAATGGGTATGGCAAACTCGAAGCCCGTAGGGAATATTAATTTGTTTGTTGTAACCAATTATTTTTTGTAAGCAATTTTCTATACACATTTATACAATTATATAGTAATTAATATTTTTATTTTTCAACTACATGGTATATTACATTTTTTGTCAAGTTAAAAATATTTTAAAAATATAGAAATTTCAAAAAGAGTAAAAGCTATAAAAATGAAATAAAGTTAAAAAAAAATACAATTAGTATGCTACGATTGAACGGATACAATTAATTCTTTATAACCATGTGCCCGTGTGTAACTAGAAATATACGAAATAATAAGATATAATAGCACAATGTAATAAAATGATTGGTACAAAAGTTGGGAGTTTACCAATTGCGCTTAAAATGACCTTTTAATATACCAATTGCGCTCTGTCTTTTTTGGGTCGATATACCAATTGCGCTCTGTATTTTTTGGGTCGATATGCCAATTGCGCTATGTCTTTTTTTGGGTTGATAGACCAATTGCGCTCAGTTGTTTTCAGGGTTTATATTATTTTTTAAATACACGTTAATATTAATAATAATTGTACAATATAAATCTATACCAAATTATACACATAGATACAAGTAAATAATACATAATTAATATACATAAAAATATAAAAATATAATTACAATTTATGTTTCCATTTAATGTTTTTTATATTTTACTGTAATAATAAGAAACTGGTTTTAAAAATTCTTTGCAAGTAATTTTTCCGGATTTGTATTTCTCAATAATAGATTCTATGGCCACTTTTTTCACTAAATACGCTCGGTTTGGTGTATATTTATCTTCTTCAGTACTGTTTATTGCAGTATAGGTAAGTGTTGGTTTGTGTTTCTATAATCGCTTTTAGAAAGACAAAAATATTTGGATGTGAGGAATAAAAATTTGATGAAAACCTTCACATGCATTGGTTAGGTTAGGTTACGTACGTTCAAAGCTTATTGTATTCGATGCCCACAGTATGGGAGGGAATGTAGAGGTTGATGATATATCATTTTCAACGATATAGTCAGTGAATTTAGTAACATTTGAATTCGTTGGCTAAATTGTCATTAATTCATTTATAAAAACATCCTCCACTTCATTGTGTGGAAAAAGTGACAAGCCAAAAATTAAATGTAGCCATTTTCCTATTTCAGAATCTATGTTTTTATACTCAGCTTATAGTCCATATCTTTGGATATTCCTCCACTAAGCTTGTGTGAAATGAAACCTACAACCTACCAGAGTTATTGAAGGCCAAACTTTTTAAACAACAAAATGAATCGCTTGTTTAAAATCGGCAACGACTGTTTTTGGACTAAAATAAAGGTTAAAAGTTGCACATTTACTGTGTATATTCATATGTAACTTTTTCCGCCGTGTAGTAACTTACATATTATGCCCATGCAAAAATAAGGAACCTACAATATAAGTAGCGCAATTGGTGTACTGACCTAAAATTTAAGCAGCGCAATTGGTATACTGACCTAAAATTTAAGCGGCGCAATTGGTATACTGACCTAAAATACAAATATTGTTTTAGGCGCAACTGGTCCATGCCCCAAAAGTTGATATTGTTGTAACTGATAACAAATATATAACGGGACCTTGAACCTCATTTTTAAAAATCAATAATTAGTTTCAAGTTTTAACCGATTTTGTAACAAGAGATAAATTATAATACCTATGATAAATATATAGTGTTTATTGTTTCTTTTGGGTCACCGGTATATTACATTTTAAATGTTTAAATGTTTTTCAAGTGAAGTTTTATTAATATCGACTTTATTACAACCAATTTTCACTGTATTAGGTTATTGTACATTTACATTTTTTTTTTATTCAAAAATATGGACCAACAACATGAATATTACTTAAAAATAATTTTAAATTTAATCTAACCGTGGTGACAAGAATTATTGTTATATATATTATATTATATAAGTGGAGGTAAGATATTATAGGTAAGTACGGTGAACAACACACATCGTATGATACAATATTATCCACTGCAATACGTATAGTAGTATAGAAATATGGGAAAATCAGGTGTTGATGTTAACGTTGAAATTTTATAATACGATTTTCGTACTGGCTACCGCTGGCAGTTTTGAACGAAAAGGATAATACATAATTTGCAAAAGATTATACGGTAAAGTGAACAGCGCACTGCAGATAAGCCATTGCCGCCGGTTGATTGTCGCACCATACGGGGCCGAAGGGGTGTAAATGTTTAAGTACACAAAAAAGCGAAGGCGCACGACATTCGAAAGACGACGGCATCATAATAATATAATCATAGGTACATCGTTTATAGTTATATAGGTATGAATATTTATTATTTAAACTAATTTAAAAACTCACTCTCTCTTCTCAAGTCCAAAAACGTAAATTAAATTGCACCCACTGTTTTTGGAACGGTAACGAAACATTGAATGAGCACGCAACCTCACTCAGTCTTCCGCACGCGTTAATACACGTGATATTATAATATTTATTTATTAATATTATATGCTCTAGAAACATTTATACGACACACTCTTATCCGGCCGTTGGCGTAGAATATGATTAATTAAAACTATATATAGTTGCAACTTGCTTATAGGTATTTTTGCAAGTGCATAATAGATATTTACAATGCTAATCTATGATTTTGCTGCCCTGGGTGTACCTACTATTTTTAATGCCCTCTTTTCTCCACCAACATTTTTTTTAAGTGGAGATTTTTCTCACCCTTAAAAAAACTTACAACATTCGTGTACAATTTGCTGTCCCGAAAAAAAGTGCTACCGGGGCAATTGCGGTTGCCCCACCCCCCTACTGCGCCACTGTACATGTATATATGTATATGTGTATTTTGTGTGTATACGGATGTAGGCACATTGTAGGTGTATTATGTATACTTGTGCGTTGCCGTCACTACCTATATCGTTAAGGTTAAATCTGCTTTTTTTGTTTTTTGTTGAAAGTGAGGAGCATTCATACGTGTACAGTAACTGCACGACTCTCGCGAAGGGGTTCGTCGACGTCGGCAGTGGATATATGTATTATATTATTATGATATTATAAATTATAATATACAAGCGCGAATTATTATTAGTTTATCAGATAAAGCGCTGGAGGTGGGTTTTAGGCTGTGGAAAATAATAATAACAAAACAGAATGCTTGCGTGAGTGTGTTATATCCATCGTCTCTCTCTCTCTCTCTCTCTCTCTTGACACTGGCAGCCGGGTGTGGGAGTGGTGGTAGTACGATGGAGGTAAGTGCGCCCTGAGTACTACAATATTATATTTGTGTGTGTGTGTGTGTGTGTGTGTGTGTGTGTGTGTGTGTGTGTGTGTGTGTGTGTGTGTGTGTGTGTGTGTGTGTGTGTGTCTGTGCTTATGTGTATATTGTGTATACCTGTACGCGCACAAAGGAATACACGTGCCGCCGCCGGTGTGTTGTTAAAGGCTCAAAAATGTTTTAATTAGCGTTGTAAACGACGTCGACGGTGTGGATGACGTCGGTCCCATCCCTATCTGCTACTGCTACCCCCGGTCGCGTAACATTACAACCGTCGAGGGTGCAGATACCTGATACACCCATAGATTTATAATATTATGTTGAGCAGGAAAACGCGTAGGGATCGAACGTACGATCGAGGTGTACGTTATTGTGGACGACTTTTCTTCTGTTGTTTTTAGTTTATGCACGATTAAACAATTATTGTATACATACCTCCTGTATAGGTAGATTAAATCGGTTTTGCTTGTTCGATGTTCATAATTAGATAATTAGGCATTACTTATTATAATATTATGATGTATTTTCAGTGTTGTATATACAGCTGCACGTTGTCAATCGTTTATTTTTTATATTATGAGCATTGTAATTGTTTAGTGCTATATAATAGTACCGAACTACAAATTAAGTTTGTGTCAATGGTTGAAATAGAAAAGCCGAATACACGCATTCTGCATTTATTTTAATATAGTATATCGTTTCACAAAAAAAAAAACAGTGATACCAAATGTTATTGAAATAGGTATTTAAGTAGGTATACCTGTTTTTGCGGAAACTAATGCGCTTTACTTGCGGTTATGCAGATTGGGTAACCACTGCTATTTTTCATTGTATCATTTTTTTTCTATTTTTCATTCGTTGTTTTTGGTCTAATGAAAGCTCACTGCTTCCGAGTCACCATTTAATATTATTATTAATAACTTAATTATAGTGGTGTGCTTTTCGATGACATTCCGGCGATATGATTCTTGTACGTGTACTTTATAGAAGTATAGTGTATAGAACACTCTGATCCGGCGAATCGAGTTACCCGTCTTCCGAGGATTATACGCTCCACACTGCTCGTTAAGGTAAGTCACAAATCACTAATCAGTCAACATTATTCTCGCCGATTCCTTGAAGGGATAAGCAATTTCCATAAACCACATCTTCTCAACTGTTATGCGGACATTTTTGTATTTACGTTATCATAATATTATATAGTGTAATGTGTTTATTATAAATTGTGTCATGTAGATTTGTAAAATCCAAGTAAGACCTTGGTAAATTATTATTATCATCGTCCGACAGTATCTTTTAGTATAACATAATTATAGTATGGATACGACAATTCGCTTAATTCGATATAATTTACCAAGAGGATTCGTTTAATGATAATATTCTCGTCCAGGAGTATAATATACGAATCCATTGATCATCGCTTCAAAGCTGTGAATACAGAATATAGCTAGGTATACACATAATATATCTTGTTATGATCGGTCTTCGTTGCACATACGTCGGGACAAATTCCTTGTGATACAATATGTGTAGCAAGTACTCCATGTCGTATGATTAAATTATTATTAATAACCCTTCACTCATTCATTCGCTCGATGAAGGCAGTACGGCGTGGCGGTATAAACGTATTTTGAGTTCAAACATTACCGCGGCCGCGAGCCATCGTCGTCGTTTGCTGCCGGTCCGAGAAAATTAATCCGAACGGCGAACACCCTGAGGGGGTTGGAAATACGCGTTTCGCTAAAGACATTGTCGCCGGCGACTACCACTAATGGCAACAATCCTTATCACGTGTATTTACGTCGGTTTAATTATGTGTGCCAGTGTGTGTGTGTGTGTATAGTGTATGTGTATGAAGTTTTGCGCCGTGTCCCCCGGGGTTTCTCCCGCGGAGAGATTGCTAAACAACAAAGTTATGTGCTCGGGATTTACTTGACCGTGTTCAAAAGCATTATTACGTCAGAGAGTATAAATTCCGAAATTCATCGTTCAGAATCACGCAGCAGCGGAGCCCTTCACTCTCCGTTCCCTATATATATATAGGTATATATTATAATCGAGCGCCACGCCGCGTGTCTCTGCAACACGAGGGCAGGCGAGTGACAGCCAACCAACCTCTGTTGCCACCGAGGCCAAGTCACGGTGGGGTTTGCATTCTGAATTCTTGGCATTATACAGGACGCAAAATGTCTGTAATCCGTGCCGTAGACGATGGGTATATAAGGTACACAATTTTTGTCCGTAACGCTCGCGTATATATTATTATGCTATATAATAATTATTATGAATATTTTATACGAATTTACTCCGTTCGAATAATCCAGTAATATATAATATTATGTTTATAGTCATTTAAAACAAATTAAAGTCGATAAGTCGTGTACTCGTAATCCGTAAATGAAACAAAAATTTAAAACACAATTTCAAGATGTCTTCATAAATAGTTTTAAACGGCGCCACAATAATTTATCAGAACTTTTATAAAATGTAGTATGGAAAAAAAGAAAAAACGAATCTCGTGATATACATATAGAAGGTTGAAAAAAGTGTTTTGAGAAAAATATTTCTAATTTAACTTCAGTGTAGAGTGGTTATTATTAAGCCTGAAAGATTAATTAAAAAAAAGTTGTTCGTTTAATTTTTACAATCTGTTGTTAAAACAATACTAAAAAAAAATGTTTACTTTATTGTGAACTATATAATATATACATACACTTTTTTGTTTCTGTAATAATGCTCTTTTCCAAGTTATTACGTAATTATTTGGTAAAATAAATAATAAAAAAAAAAAGAAAAATACGCCATTGTTTACTCGTTAAAAAAAAATACAAAATTATATTATAATAAATGAAACGGCGCGGCGGAGGGGAAAAAACATAGACTGCGACTTTAACAGGTAATTAGATTTCTTTGGTGAATTAACTCGACGAGCCAAGATTGCGAGAATTCAACCCCAACAAAATGCTGAAGACTGCTCGCAGTGTGGGGGTAAAGCGTGGGGTAAAAAAACGGTCGTTTGTCTTGAACGACTGGTTACGTCGCTAAGTAAAGAACGTTAAAAAAATGTGAGAGAAAGATGAAAACCGAAACCTTTTGTTGCGGCGATACTTGCTTATATATATTATATTATAACCGACATATACGAATGAAACAGCGTCAGGCCTTTTTTCTTGTACCTTTTCCTCGGTCTTTGCACACTGCAGTAGTGTCAGAAACGTTCTATTTATTAATATATCATTATATATCTACAGATAGAGAGATAACCTCGCTGTAATTGAGTGAAATAGCTATTATTTCTGAGAACACAGCGAACTGAAATTCGTACGAGCGGTATCTGTGGAATGGACATTATATGTAATATACATTTTCTATGTGTATTACATGTGTATTACATGGTATATGTAATATGTTATATGTATGAACACTATGAAGTGGCATTGCGCACAGATGCCATGTACTAAAGGGGACGTGACGCTATGGTTTTCGTCTTATATTGTATAATCGAGTAAAGTTTTTAAAAACTACGCACCGGAAATCCGGTCCTCCATTGCAGAGCAATACCTTCAGGGACTGTTGTTATACTTCGCCATGTTCGTCGTAGCTGTAGGTACGATAGGACGTATATTGTACGCGTCTTCTGTCATTAGATCGTTACGCACTTTTACTGTAGGTACGTATGGCCACCGTTCCGGTAAACGCGCCCAGGGGAACGATCAAGAAATGCTGCTCTTCGTTCTCAGCGACCGCCGCGGACGGTTACAATAAATAATATATATACGTCGTCGTTACGATCGACAAACATCTCCCGTATCGCATCGCCCCTGCGACCCTAGATGTAAAGGTACAATAAACGTGGTTATACGTTGTTTATCCAATTTAATATATATTATAATAATACAGCAAAATTATACAACAGTCTTTTTTAAAAAAAATTGTTTTGGGTAATGTTTGTGCGGACAAAGAGGTTATTATTATTTGATAAATTTTCAGCTCCTCCATCGAATATTTTTTCTTCAATATTAAAATGTGTTTAAGTCGGAAAAGTAACCTAACCTTTTAAAATGTTATAATATCGTAAAATATGTAAATCTTTTTCATATGAATATGAGCATTCGTTAACTTTGCAAAGTTTCATGCGCAGGGCGTTATCAATCCGGCCAATTTCCTATTTTACTTTCAATAAGAATGATATACATATCCACAATATGGAAACATCATTTTACTTAACTTCCTGATTTTACAACGAAATATAATTCATATACAATATAAATTGATAAATTAAAAGAATATATTTAAAAGCGATATTTACGTAGGTACCGTAATGGTATGTAGACATTTGATCAAACTTATAACACAATAATATTATAAATACAAAACTAACAAAACATAATATTATATTGCAGTAATATGTTTTTATCAGATAATATTGTAATATTTCATTAATAAATCTAAAATCAAATAAAAAATTTAAAAGGGGAAACCGGTACAATAAGAGTCTTAGTCCTTAGACTCTGAGGATATTATAGATTCATATAATAATTAATAATTGATACTGTTTATCATATTTTATCAATGAAATTGAGAGTGGAAACTCTAAACCTAATTGGATATAATATATTCCAAATCTCTCGAGCTGAGAGAGTTTTCTTGAGGCAAAGGCGAACGCGATCGGGAGGTTAGACCGCGTAGTTTATAACTGGTAGGATGCGAACAGAGTGAGTTGGTCCCTTTTCCGTCTTCATTATTTTATCACATGTCGGATTGGCATCGGCTCCATCAATATTCAATACCCGCATAAAGTCTAAGGTGGCTTTTGTAGTAGCGTTGTAATTAATGCGACATCTTGCTACTATTATAGTGCTGCCCAGTTCGTTTTCACTGTTTTCAGCCGTATATTGCGGTTGTTGTAAACCGCGGGATGTTGTTGTTGTCGAATTCAAACTATGAGCGAGTTGTTACGGTGTTGTCATATGATATTATAAGATAGATTTGGCCAAAATGCAAAAACACTGATCGACGAGAGTACCTTCCGTCGTACCTTTATAATCCGTATGTATCGTACTCACGATAATATTATCAACAGATGTATTGGTATAATATTGTACAGTACTATATTATCTAGTTTGGCAGAACCCGTACTATAGGAAAGTCGAATCGTGTAGTAAGCCATATTTCATAACGCCACCCCTAAAATTGTGTATTTAGAAGTATAAATATAATATATTTATGTTTACGTATATCGTGCATACATATTATTCGAAATAGTTTACATAATTATTACATATAATAAAGTGTCTCAGTACAATAAACTAATGTCACTTCAATTATGCTTTTAAAGTATAATTTTTTTTAAAGCGATTGTTGATATTAGAATTTACATAGCACTTTTAGCATATTTCGGTAATTAACTTTGGATTGGCCGTATAATGTGTATCAAACGTCGTTTATCCACTTTCGTTCAATTGTATTCACTGTACCTACATGGCTATACATGGATATAATATACTCAATAATGTGATAAGATGGAAAATAATATTATGTTATGTTATTTATTCTCCGTTATTTATTATTATCCTCAGATGGAAAAAAAATTATTATAATTAATATATATATATATTCATAACTGCGACATTATGTTATCGGTGTAGGTATGTGTTAAATCCTCCCTATTCATCACAAAATGTCAACTATGGATATATTATAATTAAATTTGTTCGTAGAGACGTTAACAGTGTTTTCAATTTGCATTGGAAATAATATCATCCACTCGTGATGTAATTAAAACATTCGGGAGGGCTTTGATAACCATTTATTAAACCGTATTATTTTATTGTAGCACCGTCGTTGGTAATTTTTGTACAATATTAATAATTAATTTTTGAACTGTCGGTTGCATTGACATATTATTCTACAACATTATTTTGAATATATATAGTACATCAACGGTTGGTTGTGACATATCCGATTAATTAAAGTCTATAACGGCAATTATAATTATTGTTTTATTCAGTCTATTCATTCGGAAAAAGTATAATTAAATGGTTTCACAAAGGATTTTAAATTACATTTT